AAAGAATTGGGGACATGACATTGTCTTTATGTACAGTTCATGGCTCCTGAACATCAGTTTGGTCGTCTATGACGATGACAAATTCAGCGGCAAACAGTTTCGTTGTGAGATTTCCCTCTATTAGTCTTGGTAGAGCACGGACAATGGCTTTACCACTCATCATACAGGTAACAGCATGTAGGCCATATACTTCTTCCAGTGCTTTCTTTGCTCTCCTTTATTCCCGATTCTCTCATCATATGAAGCACACTGCCACAAAAGCTTATTATATTATTTCTGAAAGAGCTGATGTTAAAGGCCCAGTGTATGGATTGATTTATCTCCCTTTATAATAACCAGCTCATCAACATTCATACTCTCTCCAAGCTTGATGCGCTGACCAGTCAATGTAACTAATGTTTGCTGAACATTGCTTTCACTCTTATACCAAGGAATGTTTCTTTTCCAGTGAACGTTTATATACTGAGATCAACATTATCAGCTGACCACAGCGTAAATGTTGGGTATCATGGAGGTGATAAACTTTCCACATTCTCCTCTTGCCTGAGTGAATGTTTGAATAAACAAACTGTCACATGAAACTGAAAAACTAAGATGAAAAAGTTCATCTATGAGCCATCTTGATTAAAAAAACATGGATAACCACTGTCCTGAATCCAAAGAGAATCGGTACCAATACTGTCCTCGGCTTCACAGCTTGTACAAAAACTTGACCTATAAAGACCTGCTCGATATCATTTGTTTTTATCAGTGTTTCTGCAAACTTTCGAAGAAGTGGAGTTAAATTCTGCCTCCATATTTCTAGATCTTTCATGTCATCGACTGACGTATACTCATGTGTGTGTGTATTTTCCTTCTCTAATCTCTTCTCATATAACCTTGACAGCAATGTTTACAATCCTTCCTGTTTCTTCTGGTGGATGTTCCTCTCTGAATACCACTTGTCAGTGGTATTCAGAAAGGAAAAACACATTCTTCTTTCCACTGATTTCAGCAAAATAGACGTAATCACTATAATGATCCTGTAGCTTCTACTATAGGCCCTTCATGATGTAAACTGCATCGTCTCTTGTCAGTCATGTGTGTGTGAAGATGATCACGAGTATATAATTCGGCTTCGCAATTATTCTCAAGCAGTCTACATAATGCTTATAAACTATCATTCCTTTCACCATACATTGGTCGATCAACAGTTTTTTAGGTTGGTAGGGTACGCATGAATGCCTGATAGTAATGAAGATGGTATCTACACTCTGCTGCCACCAAATCGATACAACTCTCAAATCGAGTTTGAACTTCTGGCCCACGAGTCAACCCAATTGTAGCATTACTTAACAATGGTATTTCCGATGGGAATTGTTCAAACAAGTATTACAGGATATCTTTATGGTTGCCTGCGATCAAAAATTGTCACAGCACAACTAAATATGCAATTATTTGTCCAGCAAAATGTTTCATCAATGAAAGACCTCAGATACTTTTTACATGATCCATCACTGGCATAGAGCTTCTTGGTGTTCTTTCAATTATCAGTGAATTTCTTCCGGCAAACAACATGTAGAACATTACCCACTGGTGAGGTTATACAGTAGCTTTACCTTAAAGATAACTGTGTAGCTCACTGTCTCAGCGACTCTGCATTTAAGGAGATTATCCAGGTACTTTCTGCTATTACTAGATCATGATTCTCTTAACGTTCGAGGCAAACAATACAGTTTGCGTCCTTCGACGGTTGTTCTTCAGCCTGCTCACTCATGGTGTTGCAATATTGCTCAGCTCACATGCCAGTCACACATGCCACTTTAAGAAGTTTTATATGTAAGATCTCCCACCTAGGGTGACGAACTGACTACCTGCCACCCAGGGTGACGGACTGACCACCTCCCACCCAGGGTAATGGACTGACCACCTCCCACCTAGGGTGACGGACTGACTACCTCCCACCCACGGTGACGGACTGACCTCCTCCCACCCAGGGTGACGGACTGACCACCTCCCACCCAGGGTGATGGACTGACCACCTCCCACCCAGGGTAACGGACTGACCGCCTCCCACCCAGGGTGATGGATTGACCACTACTCACCCAGGGTGACAGACTGACTACCTCCCACCCACGGTGACGGACTGACTACCTCCCACCCACGGTGACGGACTGACCTCCTCCCACCCAGGGTGACGGACTGACCACCTCCCACCCAGGGTGATGGACTGACCACCTCCCACCCAGGGTGACGGACTGACCACCTCCCACCCAGGGTGACGGACTGACCACCTCCCACCCAGGGTGACGGACTGACCACCTCCCACCCAGGGTGGCGGACTGACCACCTCCCACCCAGGGTAACGGACTGACCACCTCCCACCCAGGGTGACGGACTGACCACCTCCCACCCAGGGTGATGGACTGACCACCTCCCACCCAGGGCGACGGACTGACCACCTCCCACCCAGGGTAATGGACTGCCCACCTCCCACCTAGGGTGATGGACTGACCACCTCCCACCTAGGGTGACGGACTGACCACCTCCCACCTAGGGTGATGGACTGACCACCTCCCACCCAGGGTGACGGACTGACTATCTCCCACCCAGGGTGACGGACTGACCACCTCCCACCCAGGGTGACGGACTGACCACCGCCCACCCAAGGCGACGGACTGACCGCCTCCCACCCAGGGTGATGGATTGACCACTACTCACCCAGGGTGACAGACTGACCACCTTTCACCCAGGGTGAGGGACCTCCCACCCAGGGTGACGGACTAACAACCTCCCACCCTGGGTGACGGACTGACCACCTCCCACCCAGGGTGAAGGACTGACTACCTCCCCACCCAGGGTGACGGACTGACCACCTCCCACCCAGGGTGAGGGACTGACCACCTCCCACCCAAGGTGACAGACTGACCACCTCCCATCCAGGGTGACGGATTGATCACCTCTCACCCAGGGTAAAGGACTGACCACCTCTCATCCAGGGTGACGGCCTGACAACCTCCCACCCAGAGTGATGGACTGACCAGCTCCCACCCAGGGTGATGGACTGACCAGCTCCCACCCAGGGTGATGGATTGCCCACCTCCCACCCAGGGTGATGAAATTACTATTCCCGCCCAGGGTGGTGGACTGACCACCTCCCACCCAGGGTGACGGACTGACCACTGCCCACCCAAGGCGACGGACTGACCGCCTCCCACCCAGGGTGATGGATTGACCACTACTCACCCAGGGTGACAGACTGACCACCTTTCACCCAGGGTGAGGGACCTCCCACCCAGGGTGACGGATTAACAACCTCCCACCCAGGGTGACGGACTGACCACCTCCCACCCAGGGTGACGGACTGACTACCTCCCCACCCAGGGTGACGGACTGACCACCTCCCACCCAGGGTGAGGGACTGACCACCTCCCACCCAAGGTGACAGACTGACCACCTCCCATCCAGGGTGACGGATTGATCACCTCTCACCCAGGGTAAAGGACTGACCACCTCTCATCCAGGGTGACGGCCTGACAACCTCCCACCCAGAGTGATGGACTGACCAGCTCCCACCCAGGGTGATGGACTGACAAGCTCCCACCCAGGGTGATGGATTGCCCACCTCCCACCCAGGGTGATGAAATTACTATTCCCGCCCAGGGTGGTGGACTGACCACCTCCCACCCAGGGTGAGGGACCTCCCACATCCCACCCAGGGTGACGGACTGACAACCTCCCACCTCCCACCCAGGGTAATCGACTGACCACCTCTCATCCAGGGTGACGGCCTGACAACCTCCCACCCAGAGTGATGGACTGACCAGCTCCCACCCAGGGTGATGGACTGACCAGCTCCCACCCAGGGTGATGGATTGCCCACCTCCCACCCAGGGTGATGAAATTACTATTCCCGCCCAGGGTGGTGGACTGACCACCTCCCACCCAGGGTGAGGGACCTCCCACATCCCACCCAGGGTGACGGACTGACAACCTCCCACCTCCCACCCAGAGTAATCGACTGACCACCTCTCATCCAGGGTGACGGCCTGACAACCTCCCACCCAGAGTGATGGACTGACCAGCTCCCACCCAGGGTGATGGACTGACAACCTCCCACCCAGGGTGATGGATTGCCCACCTCCCACCCAGGGTGATGAAATTACTATTCCCGCCCAGGGTGGTGGACTGACCACCTCCCACCCAGGGTGAGGGACCTCCCACATCCCACCCAGGGTGACGGACTGACAACCTCCCACCTCCCACCCAGGGTAATCGACTGACCACCTCTCATCCAGGGTGACGGCCTGACAACCTCCCACCGAGTGATGGACTGACCAGCTCCCACCCAGGGTGATGGACTGACAACCTCCCACCCAGGGTGATGGATTGCCCACCTCCCACCCAGGGTGACGAAATGACTACTCCCGCCTAGGGTGGTGGACTGACCACCTCCCAACCAGGGTGAGGGATCTCCCACCTCCCACCCAGAGTGACGGATTGACAATCTCCCCCCAGGGTGACAGACTGACAACCTCCCACCCAGGGTGAAGGAATGACAACCTCCCACCCAGGGTGAGGGACCTCCCACCTCCCACCCAGAGTGACGGACTGACAATCTTCCCCCAGGATAACGGACTGACAACCTCCCACCCAGGGTGACGGACTGACCATCTCCTACCCATTGTTACTGACTGAACATTTCTAGTATTCTCCTGCATTGGACTGAAGAAACCTGTCGTGTAGGCGAAATACTTCGACATAAGTAAATAAGACACTTTAACCGAAGTGTTGTGGTTATTGCGTACCTTCAGTAATATGGTACAAGTACACTTGATTCAACACTTACACCTATTTTAACACCTGTTATAGCACATTAGGTTCATCTTATACTTGTCTTGTCTCGCTAGTATATAGCACATAGCTAGGCACAGTTTATCTACCTATTATATAGTACAGAGTAAGGCATGTCTTATATACCTATATAATAGCACAAAAATAGTACAATGTGTACATTTTACCTGTACAAAGCTTGAGGTCTGGAGCTGGCGATGATAACAACGGGAACATCATCAATAACACTGTTCTCCAACTGTAGGAAGATCATGTTATAGTTAAGGTATGAACTTTTAAGATCATTGTTCTGTATCTATAAAAATAACAAGTGAACATATTGGAATATTTTTATAACAAGAACAATTATATTTAAGTGCAGGAAGAACAAGAAAGTGTTTATATGTTTATATATACAGGAATAAGATCAGTTTGTAACTCAACTAAGAAAAGATTGTAAAAGTTTTTTTATTTCTAATAATAAAATTGTTCTGTAACAGCAAGAAGAACAGGAAGTCGTACGTTCATAGGGTAAGACTGTTCTTCAACACTATGAAGAACAGGTCAAAATATACACACACATTTAAGAGAATAAGAATATTGTCAACCGAAGCAAGAACACAAAGAATATATTCGTAATTTTAGAGTATATTTTCTTTTCATTCAATTAAGGCGGAAACTCGGTTTCCGAACGTACCGGACCTCGAACAAACTGGAGTCCGAACAATTTTGTTCAGAAAAAATTGACCCAGTCTTTGAACGTTTTTCTTGAGTCCGAACGACCGGACTTTTTTAAAATTCAGTTATAAAAGAAAATACAGGAAAGTCCTGTTTCAAAAGTGCTTTGAAGTGACCTCTGACACTGACCTCTGACACTGACCTAGCTTTCAGACTTTTAGAAGAGTTAAATCAACGTCATCCAGTGTGTGAGGATGATAATTTAAATCCGGGAAATATTGTTTCTGATATAGAGTTTTTCGCAGTTCGAACTCCACCTAGGAATCAATTAAGTTCAAACCTCGGTTTTCACTGTTCGTAACAGAACAACAGGAATGCATGAAAGAACATGGTATCTCCCATCATACATTACACCTGCAGTGTAGAATTGTGCGGGTTATTTGTGCATCGTTCCAGTCACGGTATTGTGCCTTTTTGTTTTATAAGACCAGACAGACTGAAGAAAAGTTTAGCCAACCTGTTTCTCACTTCTCTAGAAAGACCAATCCTCAATGAAGATACCTTGTTGCTGGTGAGGCGCTCTTGATATAAGGAATTGGACCTGTATTCACCTTCCTTGAATAGAGCCCGAATGCCTCCCATTCTTCCAGGCACTGAATAACCCCTATGGGTTTAGCGTTCTCTTATAATTATAATAAAATTAATAATAATAATAATAATAATAATAATAATAACAATAATAATAATAATAATAATAATATAAAGAGACTAAACCAAGGAAGATGTGATGAGATAATTTGAGGTGATCCGTCCCTTGATGTACTTAGTGAATCACACTTGATAAATGAACAGAATATGTATCAGAATGAAGAATTACGTACTAGAGACTGATGATGTGCAGCAGTTGGAACTGGCATGACAGTTGGGCGGGGCCCACTAGTAATGATAATGTATAACAATAGGCTAAGCAGTTGTTAGTTGTAGAAGAGCTCACTGGATCAAGATTCCAAGATGTTTTTCTGTCAGACAAGTAGATAAGACATATGTCCAGGATTCTGGTATTTTTATTGTTGAAATGTTTCGCCAGTCAGTGGCTTTATAAATCTATTACAGACAACAAAAGGCGGACGATGTGAATAGAAGACGTCGTCTCCTACTGTTCAGGTTCACCTGACTCCAGTACATAAGTCTCCATCCTCAGACATTTGGTATAGATTCATCACGGCTGAGGGACTGATCACCCCATCCACTCCTTCACAGCTTCCACAGTCATTCTCTGCATGGGATTAAGCCAGTGAGTGGAGAAATGCTATTACAATAAAGATGTTAGATAAATGGACACAGATATAACTGATGTGACATGTTATTGTGGCAACGTTTCGCTCTCCAGGAACTTTATAACACTGGATAAAGATCCTGGAGAGCGAAACGTTGCCAAAATAAACATCACATTAGTTGCATCTGTGTCCACTGACCTTCACATTTTGTCGGTAATTCTACTTTATTACTAAAATAAAAATATATTTATTATTCCTCCACCTGCTATGTTGTGTGTGATAAATGTTATGTTGTGTGTGATAAATGTTATGTTGTGTGTGATAAATGTTATGTTGTGTGTGATAAATGTTATGTTGTGTTGATAAATGTTTGTGTTGTTGTGTATAAAGTTATGTTGTGTGTGATAAATGTTGTGTTGTGTGTGATAAATGTTGTGTTGTGTGTGATAAATGTTATGTTGTGTGTATAAATGTTATGTTGTGTGTGATAAATGTTGTGTTGTGTGTGATAATGTTATGTTGTGTGTGATAAATGTTATGTTGTGTGTGATAAATGTTATGTTGTGTGTGATAAATGTTATGTTGTGTGTGATAAATGTTATGTTGTGTGTGATAAATGTTATGTTGTGTGTGATAAATGTTGTGTTGTGTGTGATAATATGTTATGTTGTGGTGATAAATGTTGTGTTGTGTGTGATAAATGTTGTGTTGTGTGTGATAAATGTTATGTTGTGTGTGATAAATGTTATGTTGTGTGTGATAAATGTTGGTGTTGTGTGTGATAAATGTTATGTTGTGTGTGATAAATGTTGTGTTTGTGTGTGATAAATGTTATGTTGTGTGTGATAAATGTTATGTTGTGTGTGATAAATGTTGTGTTGTGTGTGATAAATGTTATGTTGTGTGTGATAAATGTTGTGTTGTGTGTGATAAATGTTATGTTGTGTGTGATAAATGTTATGTTGTGTGTGATAAATGTTGTGTTGTGTGTGATAAATGTTATGTTGTGTGTGATAAATGTTATGTTGTGTGTGATAAATGTTATGTTGTGTGTGATAAATGTTATGTGTGTGTGATAAATGTTATGTTGTGTGTGATAAATGTTATTTTTGTGTGTGATAAATGTTGTGTTGTGTGTGATAAATGTTTATGTTGTGTGTGATAAATGTTATGTTGTGTGTGATAAATGTTGTGTTGTGTGTGATAAATGTTATGTTGTGTGTGATAAATGTTGTGTTGGGTGTGATAAATGTATGTGTGATAAATGTTATGTGTGATAAATGTTATGTTGTGTGTGATAAATGTTATGTTGGTGTGATAAATGTTGTGTTGTGAGTGATAAATGTTATGTTGTGTGTGATAAATGTTATGTTGTGTGTGATAAATGTTATGTTGTGTGTGATAAATGTTATGTTGTGTGTGATAAATGTTGTGTTGTGGGTGATAAATGTTATGTTGTGTGTGATAAATGTTGTGTTGTGTGTGATAAATGTTGTGTTGTGTGTGATAAATGTTATGTTGTGTGTGATAAATGTTATGTTGTGTGTGATAAATGTTATGTTGTGTGTGATAAATGTTGTGTTGTGTGTGATAAATGTTGTGTTGTGTGTGATAAATGTTGTTGTGTGTGATAATGTAAGTTGTGTGATAAATGTTATGTTGTGTGTGATAATGTTGTGTTGTGTGTGTTAATGTTATGTTGTGTGTGATAAATGTTTTGTTGTGTGTGATAAATGTTGTGTTGTGTGTGATAAATGTTTATGTTGTGTGTGATAAATGTTGTGTTATGTGTGATAAATGTGTGTTGTGTGTGATTAATGTTATGTTGTGTGTGATAATGTTATGTTGTGTGTGATAATGATGTGTTGTGTGATAAATGTTGTGTTGTGTGTGATAAATGTTATGTTGTGTGTGATAAATGTTATGTTGTGTGTGATAAATGTTGTGTTTGTGTGATAAATGTTGTGTTGTGTGTGATATGTTGTGTGTGTGTGTAAATGTTATGTTGCGTGTGATAATTAGTTGTGTTGTGTGTGATAAATGTTGCGTTGTGTGTGATAAATGTTATGTTGTGTGTGTTAAGTTGTGTTGTGTGTGATAAACGTTATGTTGTGTGTGATAAATGTTATGTTGTGTGTGATAAATGTAATGTTGTGTGTGATAAATGTTATGTTGTGTGTGATAAATGTTATGTTGTGTGTGATAAATGTTGTGTTGTGTGTGATAAATGTTATGTTGTGTGTGATAAATGTTATGTTGTGTGTGATAAATGTTATGTTTGTGTGTTAAATTATGTTGTGTGTGATAAATGTTGTGTTGTGTGTGATAAATGTTGTGTTGTATGAGATAAATGTTGTATTGTGTGTGATAAATGTTATGTAGTGTGTGATAAATTGTTATGTTGTGTGTGATAAATGTTTGTTGTGTGATAAATGTTGTGTGTGATAAATGTTATGTTGTGTGTGATTAAATGTTATGTTGTGTGTGATAATTGTTGTGTTGTGTGTTGATAAATGTTGTGTTATGTGTGATAAATGTTATGTTGTTGTGTGATGAATGTTATGTTGTGTGTGATAAATGTTATGTTGTGTGTGATAAATGTTATGTTATGTGTGATAAATGTTATGTTGTGTGTGATAAATGTTATGTTGTGTGTGATAAATGTTATGTGTGATAAATGTTATGTTGTGTGTGATAAATGTTATGTTGTGTGTGATAAATGTTATGTGTGATAAATGTTATGTTGTGTGTGATAAATGTTATGTTATGTGTGATAAATGTTATGTTGTGTGTGATAAATGTTATGTTGTGTGTGATAAATGTTATGTTGAGTGTGATAAATGTTGTGTTGTGTGTGATAAATGTTATGTGTGATAAATATTATGTTGTGTGTGATAAATGTTATGTGTGATAAATGTTATGTTGTGTGTGATAAATGTTATGTTGTGTGTGATTGGAATGTTATGTTGTGTGTTAAATGTTATGTGTGATAAATGTTATGTTGTGTGTGATAAATGTTATGTTGTGTGATAAATGTTGTGTGTGATAAATGTTATGTTGTGTGTGATAAATGTTATGTTGTGTGTGATAAATTTATGTTGTGTGTGATAAATGTAATGTTGTGTGTGATAAATGTTAAGTTGTGTGTGATAAATGTTATGTTGTGTGTGATAAATGTTATGTGTGTAAATGTTATGTGTGATAAATGTTATGTTGTGTGTGATAAATGTTGTGTTGTGTGTGATAATGTTGTGTTGTGTGTGATAAATGTTGTGTGATAAATGTTATGTGTGATAAATGTTTG